GCAAATACATATACCATTTCAATTTAAAAGAATTTTCCCAATCGGTTTATGAATTACGGAGTTCTGGCCTGTTGGTCTAGTGGCTAGTGACCCTGACTTCTAAGCCGGAGAAAATATTGTGGGATTAGCACTGTCATTTGTTCTTTTTCTGGGTGTAATTTATTTATGATATGTATTTATTTACCAACCCGTCTGGCTAGCGTGGTATAGCCTACTATACATAGGCCTCTCCTTAGAAAGGAGGTTTTGGTCTACCAAAACCCCTAACCTTTCTAAGGAGAGGCCTATGTCCAGCAGTGGACCATTAAAGGCTGATGATGCGATATGATGTGATTTATTTAAAAATATATTAGTATGTTTATAAGCAGTCTGGTTACCACAGCACTGGCTCTGCATAGTTTAGAATCAGATGGCCGTGTGGGAGATGTGTGCGATCTATTATAATTATCATATATATAATTCTCATGTCACGGTGTTAGAAGTTGAACTCCTTCGAAACGGCTAGACCGATTTTCGTGAAATTTTGTGTGAATATCGGGTAGGTCTGAGAATCGGCAAACATCTATTTTTCATACCCCTAACTTTTTAATTTTTTTTTGACATTTTTTTTTTAAATAATGTATATGGCAAAACAACGTTTGCCGGGACAGCTAGTTAATAAATAAAAGAAAGTTACAGCCAAAGTGACGGAACAGATAGAAATACAGAGAAATTGATAATTCAGTGGTTCTCTAAGAAGTTATTTTTCCTTTTAGTTGTAGAAACTGTCTGCCTAGAACGGTAGCAAAAATCGGGGACATGATATCGTCGTTGAAATTAAATGTCAAGAAAAACAGTGTTCCTTTAGACACCCAAATTAATGTAACATTATCAATGAGTAATGCGTCTTAGTTTATTTTGTTAATCCCTACGAATTTAAATAAATTTTACATCTTCTAAATAGATAGAACACAACCAGTTCATTACCAGTTTACATACAATATTCAAATCCAAATATATTAAATTAGTAAAGAGATTAAGCAACCATTTTGTATAGTAGGTCTATAGGCGAATTATGGTGGAGATTTAATTATTCATTCAATTTAGCAAGATAATAGGTTTATTGTTGGCAACAATGGAGAAATGCCAAATGACGTCGATGTTGACATACATTTCACCTATTGTTAGTTAAGTATTCCTAAGTGAGATGTTTCGTGATTTAAACTAGCATAGCTGAATATTTCAAGTTTAGCAAAAATTAAATTTAAGATGTTAAATTTAACCGTGAATAGGTTCATATGAACGAATGAATGAAGGAACCCAATGAATGTTCATTTCATGTTCAAAGCGATATGGTGAGGCAAATTACGTTGTGTTTAAATAAACTAATATGGCAATATTCCACATTAGTTTTAAATACAATAAATTCACCAGAAGCATATTTCTGCCGCATATTTAATCGATTACAAAAATTATTCTATTCATTGAATTAGTTTAAGAGTGGAAAGTCAAGGGTTTTACAAATTATCATAATTTCGGTACATTGTAGCTGGTAATACTTTCTTTTAAAGCTAATTGTAATAATTATTAACATTGATGGTTCAATCTACTGATGGAGAGGGAGGCACAAGAATGGTGCAATTCACATCCCACACGCGCGCATTGTCTTATTAAGTACGACTTACTTATACTCTCGATAGCATTATTATTTATTTATTTGGCCAGGCCACAATTAAATAGATTTATAACCCAGTGCAACAATTTCTTCTTAGCACATTACGCATTACTTTTTGTTGTCGGCATTGGCGTTTAATTAAACGTAAGAGCAATATAGTGTAAATTTATTCTTTATTAAAGGTAGGACTTGCGGATTTACTGTTTTTTTATAGTAGGATCTACCAGTTTGCAGACGGTTAAGAGCGTCGATCCTATTGATCGAAGAGTAGGTATTTGTACCTGGGAATGGAGAGGACATTCAAGGCCTGAATTTATTGGTAAAATACGCACACATACGCGTACATAATCAGAAACATAATAAACACCCACATCTTGCCTCTTTCTACAATTTTAGTCCCTAATTACGTAATTAATAGATAGCATATTACCGTTAATTAGGCACATACATTTTTACTTCAAATCCTAATACAGTATTATTATCTAAAACAAAAGCCAGTAACTAATAAATGATGTAATAACACAAAATCCCATCGGCAGTAACTAAAGTAACTTCACATTAAGCCACCACCAATTCCCACTTACGGTATTATCTTCAATCAAGGGCATCGATAAAAGGGATCGGTTACAGGAAATTATTTCGGTTATACTGACCTAAAAATGTTTGAGAGGGTCTGAGGTAAGGATAAGGATCATAAATGTTACGCCACGCCTACCCTGTTATAAGCTCTGTGTCCAGTAAGGCATAACAGACGAATGAACCGATCAAACGATTTGGGCGTGCACATTGCACAGAGGTGAATGAAAGGTACGCAGTGTTGCCATACAAATATTTAAATTCAGGATTAAATACGGTAAAAGACATTCTTAATATTATTTTCTTATTGTCCCCTTTTTAAATATTTTAGTACTTCATGTTTATTCTCCGTTTTTTTAATACAAAAGGTAAATAAAGGGTAGATAATTCCGCTCTTACCATGTGAACCAACGCTTTTAGCGATGAGTCCGCTTATTGTACATATTTAAACCTATTTTAAACTGTTCCTAATTATTTTTAAGTGCCTTGTAAACTGTAGATTAGGATTATAATTTTCTATTTTATATATGGATATGTAGTCAGTTCCACATTCAACGAAACATTTACTTCAGTACCATCTAATGAAAACACACTAGACTATTTAGTAACTTCTAATCCTGCATCACGCTATAAAGTTATTGTCGCCTCGATTTCCTAATATCAACCGCTAGACCACGGCGCCAGGTATAATCACCTCGCCTGGTCGGAGGGTCCTTTTGTCTCAGAAGGCCACACGTTTCTCTATACGCAACCTCATTATACTAAGCCAATGAGTGGTCTGAATTCTCGACAATATGTTAACAGGAACACTAGAATCTCCAACGTCACGATTATAAAATGAATTTTGGAACACGATGGCGGACTGATTAAAATGTTCAATGGTTGGTTTCAAACTTTTGTTAAACCGAGCTCCCTCGAGACGAAACATAATTAAATGTGGATTATGCGCCGTCTACCCTCTATGAATGGAATATCTAGGGATTATATCCAAGTGAAAACGATGAGAGACATTGTATAAAATTATAAAAAGTACATTTACATTGAAATTACGTCACTAAAAACGAAAAAAGCGCGATAATACCAAAAAGTGACGTCTGTACTCCGAATTCAAATCATTGGCTTGATCAAGAAATTAGGCAAAGGAAAAAGGAAAGTTTAGGCCTTGTTGTCTGATCTTGTAAAGAGTTTCTTCCGATTGCAAATGTTTTTCAAAGAAAAATAAAAGTGACGTTCGTTCGTTAATTAGAAAAGATAGCTGGGAGTAAGAGTTGAAAAGAGATTTTTTCATGTTTTTTTTTTCAAGAATAATAAAGTAATTTTCATTTTGTAAAGAATCATTGTAGAACAGTATCTTGTGGTAAAAATTAACGCACTTGTGTGTACTTATTCAGAGTTTTATACTTTAAAAGGTGAAAATATAATTCAGATATCACTTGTGTTCACTAATCTAAAAAAAACTTAACGTATGGCTCTGAAAACAAATATCTCTAGAATTCTCTAAATAGAGTTAAGTCCAAAGATTTACATACATATTTGGGGACAGTCAGTTTCAATGACGATGTTTGACAATTTTATTTAGGAATCCTACAAAATTGCAAACTTCGTGCAGACTATATATACTTATCTTAATAGTTACCAAAATATCATATCTTATAACTTTATTATATGTTTAAACTTTACAACTGAATATCTGTAAAATTCGTATTTTAATTTGCCTAGAAAAAATAAAAGCTCAGTTTTCTCAAGAATTTTAAGCAAAAGATTAACGTTATTTCTGAAGAGGTAGTTTGCGGAGGAACGAGCGAAAGCCTAACTAGCCTAAGCCCTGCTATTAGCTAGATAGTTATACATTACTAGCTCATCATCATTATCTTCCAGACCTTTTCCCAATGTTATTTCGGGTCGGCGAAATGTGTAATATTGCATAGCTAGTTTCTTTAATTGCCTTTTGCCTGCCTGATATCTAAGTAAAGTAGATTGGTGTAAGAAAAACGGATGTATAGAAGCAAATATAAGAGATAGAACCTATCTCTGATGGGGAAGTATGATGGAGACAGCAGTAGCTTAGCTTAGTTCCTTAGCTTTATTCGTTAGGTAGATGCTACAAAATAAATATTTTTCAATAGACAGAACATTCGAAGGCTCAATATCTTTTCATATTTAAAAATGGACAATTTTTTTGGCCGAATTCATCAACAGCCTTTTAATAGTCACCTGCAGGACATAGGCCTCTCCTTAGAAAGGAGGTGTTGCCTAGTATACTTCGCTGGCCAGACGGGTTGATATAGGGTTACGACACCCACGGGATGAAAAGGGGTGCTGACACTCTGTATTCTTAATAGATTACATTTAATTAATTGGTGTAAAAAAAATCTTAGCCTTAATTTTCCAAATAAACCAAAGAGGTCAGCTAATGGAATATAAAAATTCTATTCTATATTCTAAACTATTGACATATCTGTGTAGATGTCTCACTTTATTCTGAAGTGGCGAGTAAAGAAAGTGATAAAACCTCAATCAAACTTTGATATCGTAAACTTTATAGATTTCTTCCGCCAGTGAGGCGATCTAGGAAAATAAATTGTCTATTTCTTGCTTCATTCATTTCAAATAGATGGCACGCTACTTTTCAGCTGTTTACTGCTATTTCATTTATACACAGATTTTAGTACTGATGCGATATATTTAAATAAACAAATTAAATAGGAAAAAAACGTTTTAAGTTAAAAGTATAAAATATGTGTGTATGTGTATAAAAGCAGAAAAATAACTAGGTAGGTCCTAGACACCAGTCATCACACCACTCTTGATCACATGCAAAAGTAAAATCGTTGGGCGTAGCGGCACCTGAGTGTAAATAGAGTTTACATGATATGAGTGGTTGACTGTTGATATAAATTTCACGAACCTCACGATTTTATTTTTGCATCTGATCAATCGGTCAAGAGGAAGGGGGTAAAAATTTAATTACTAAATAAGACCCAAATAGGTCAAGTTAAATAAAACCGTTTAAGAAATACAATCATTGATTGCATTTTTATAAAAACTCATTGGTTGATGATTATCTAAAAGTAACTTAAATATTTTATTCCTTATCACATAAGCTATCAGTTAGTGAATGTCCCATGCAAAAGGATTCGCCTATTCCGGAGATTAGCCAAAGAAATAGACAAATCAAAAATAAAAGAAGATTAAAAAAACTGTCATATAAACATACAACACTCACGAGTTTTATTCGTATCGATAAGTAGACAAGAGAAACAACAAATATAACATGACGACATATTTTGAAAATTGGCACACAATTTGGACCGAAAAAAGTGCATGAAAAACATAAAGTTATTAGCAAGTTAAAACGGCAACAAGTAGTCTTCGTGCAGAGTAATATTGAGCCACTTGAGATTGGCGATTCTCCGATATTATGCCTATTCAATCCACGTTGCTTCTCCTTGCATAGATATGCCTCCTCTTCTATATGGTGTACGTCATATCTTACCTTGAAAAGCCGCTTCGAATTGCACAGGTTCTTGCGTGGGCGAGCGCGAGGTGGCCGACACGACGAGCGCGGCGAGGAGCGCTGCTAGCGCCACCCGCGGCGCAGCCATCTCACCACTACGCCATGCCATCGCAGCCCATCACTACACACGGGCCACGGCTGCCCTGCAACCAAAATTAAGTTGAATTAGATGACATTATCTTAATCTTCGGTTTAAAGAACTTTACTTCTTATAAAAAACTTTACAGTTCACATAAAATATGAAATTACGTTCATTATTAATAAGTATCAGCTTGGCACTTGACACAAGCAAGCAGTGATTATTATTCCGAACAGAATTATCATGAATGTATTAGAGAAAAGTTCTCATCTTCCACTTAAACATATTTAATGACGTAGACCCCCTGATTGATGTACCTAAAGCGCTGACAAACTTGTGATTTCAAACACAGTAACAGTTTTGTTTTGTAAGGAATTGACGTAATTTACTGATAGAAGCAACTGTTTTAAATAGTCAGAGTTTTTCCCTTGCCATCAGCTCTTTCACCTCCTGTATCAATATATAGGGGCAAACGTGTAGCTGGGTCCTGATGGTAAGTGACTACCATCGCCCATTTACACCTGCAAGTCAAGAGACACTAGTGCGTTGCCACTCTTTGAGTACTTCAGAGTCAGGAGAAGTGGGAGTTGAGCTCCGGTAATCACTCACTTTCTCACTCGGTCGGTGAAAAGTAACGAGAAAATAGCCTAACTCCGGTTTTCCGAACATACTATTAAATGGACATCTAGAATATTACCTCACATCACGTCAACAGCCTTTAATAGTCCACTGCTGGACATAGACAAGCTTAGCAAGGAGGTTTTAGCTTACTATACCACACTGGCCACACGGGCTCTTATAGGGTTTGATTCAAGTTTTCCTTCTCTTTGCTGTGCTGTTGTTCTCGTTGTTTGCTCCCTTAGTCCATGAATAGGGGTGGTGACACTCTGTATTCCTAATACGTCACCACACGGCCGTCCGTGTGGGGATCTGTATATTCGTATATAGATATCTAGAATATACAATATACTGACTAACCTTAAATCAATAAACGAAATAACGTTGAAAGGAAACTCTCAAGTTCTAAACCCTCAGAGATACATGTCAGTTAACACGTCACTCTTTGATAGGATAACTTCAAATCTCGCTCTGTCGGGCAGTCGTGCCATTGGGATTTAAGCTACAAGTCTGATTGATAACAGCGTAGTCCTATTTTCTTTGACCAACGTTTGGTCAAATAGGCAAACTAAAATCGTTTATTTAGTATATTTGTGTATTTGTTTTATTGTAAGATACAAAGAGACGACGAAGACGTAATCTTCGCCTTCGTCGTCTCTGAAGGGGTAAACAGAGTCATATTAATATCATATCATTTTTAACTAAGTTGTTGTAAAATAAGAAAGAAAGAATGTTATATAATACTATTAAAATCGCTTCACAAAACTTGTTGTATAAATAAAATTAAACTCTGAGAAGTTTTCTGTTTTTTTTTCTATGGTAAAAAACTATTACGGAAAATAAAAAAGAAAACTAATTTTTAAATATAAAGGATTAGCTTGTAAAACTCAATACCTATTACATCGTCTACATCTCAGCCGAACGACTTCCACTGATGGACGTAAGCCACCCCCAAGGTTCTCCACAACAACCGGTCCTGCGTTGCCACCATCCAACGGCTTCTCGCGACCTTCACCAGGTCGTCGGACCACCTTGTGGGTGGCCTACACACATACCTACCAAATACCTACTACCACATGTTATTAAATAAAAACAAGTAACCGTTTATAGAACTTTTGTCATTAATTTTTGTATCACTAACGGTAGACAAGTATTTTGAACACATCCTTATAACTGAAGAACCATTTAAATGAATTCAATGAAAGCGAATCGCTTACAAACGCCAAAGTCTAATCTGACGAATCACATTAGTTAAACAGGCTCAACCGCCAACGTAAAAGTTTACATGAAAGATACCAGTTTGGCTCAAATTGATGCCGTAATAGACGAGTAGGCAAGACAGCTTCTCCACAAACATTAATCAATCACACAACTTTAGCCATCGACGCTGGCTGAAAACATTTCATCTTGAGTTACCTACCTAGGGCATTTGTCTCACAGTCGGCAACTTAACGATAAAACAGAATTTATCATTAAACTTCTTAGAGGATAAGAGACCTTAACTCAATTGAGTTTGAATACTGTTTGTCATAGGTATAAAATATTTAACACATTGCGTAATCAAAACGTTACAAAGAAAGTTTTATATGTTACAAATGTTGTAATCCATAGACATAATATAAGAAGAGACTGCTTGTTCCTATGTACGGTGCTCGCGCTGAAGCACGAGTAGAAAGAGAAACAGCACCGAACGTGCTGTTTCTCTTTCTACCTGTCTCTCTCACACATTGCCGATTATTTGGTAAAAAATATATTTTAGATTAAATAATGTAAGTTTCTTATGAAATATATCTTATCACGTGCATGTTCAATAAATATAATTTCAAAGTTTTTGTGCTTGAATTAGAACTTGTTTTAATGTACGTACATATACATCACGTATGTAAGTCTTTACAAAAAGTACATGTAGAGTACATATGAGAAATAATAATTTGACTTTGTCAAAAATATTTTCAATGTTTTTGTGCTTGAATTAGATCTGTCTCTAAATTATATAATAATTCGAGATTAATACAAAAATCTTTTGTTAAAAAGCTTTGTAAAATACATTATGCCAGTTTCAGTTGTGGAAATTTGTATGTATTATTCTTTGATTTCCCCTTTTATTTCTCTCCTATAATATTAATTTTTTTAGTAATGCTTTGTTATTTGTAAAAGTTTCGAAAAGTGATTATATTAATCGATGCCAGGAATACATTTTTGTCTTATTAACACACGCAATTTTTTTGCTTTGGTCTAGTTAAGACGTTAAGTGAAAGGTTCAGTTGATGCAACCCCCCACCGTTAGCGTTAATGTGCGAGAGAGGCAGATACCCACTAAATAAAGTAAGGTTAAAGTAAATAAAAGAATTAAGACTATTAAAAATTAATTAGCAGTTGAGCAAGAAGCATCGTCAATTCAAGTTAGAATATTGTTTTTAAACATAACTCTTGGTCTGTCTTATTTAGGTAATTTTATATTCCTACTGTCCGCCCGATCGCTTTCAATAAGACCGTGGCCAGCGATCACACTTTGAAAATTTTCCGATTCCCATTTAAAGTTTTTGATGGTATTAGTTAACTCCACCTAAACATACATTTCAATTTTCATGAAATGAAATGACATTTTAACGAAATGAAATGGATCTAACTAACCAAGAACCAAGACTCTTTAGATAAAAAGTAGTTTACAGACGAACGGTAACGATGAAAGAAGCAGAAAAAACATTCAAAAAGTAGGTAATAATGACGTTATTAAATACGAATGACGAACTTTGGACGAATGGCACATTAAGGCTAAATTATTTATTTATTTATTTTAAACTTAATGCACATATTGTACAAAGGCGGACTTAATGCCATTAGGCATTCTCTCCCAGTCAACCTTCAGGTGATGTAGAAATATGATGCAGTAGGTGCAAAATAAAATTTGAAATTTAACATATTTTAGGTCCAGAAACATACACAATATAAAACACACATGCATACATTTTTACCCACATAGTTTTCAAAGAAAAGGGTCAACCTATTTTGATAGCGGTAGACTAAGTAATTATATATATATATATATATATATATATATCTGAGAAAGGTAGATGTAAAATAGTATAGTAGGCCAAAATCTCTCTTCTAAGGAGATGCCTATGACCTGCTGGACATAGGCATGTTCCCTTCGGGTCTCCTGCTCCTCGGGGACTAAGGAGCCAGAAGTATTTTATTGGGACTAATCCCACCCATACGTCCACAACTGTAACTCCTGTACACCAGGATCCACAGCACTCCCAGAACTGACACCATGCCCTATCAGGCCCAAACTCAGTTGAAAAACATTTCCCCCCTTATTTACGACTACCGCAGCATTCAATCTGCTACCAGAGGTCCCCACTCTCTGGCATACGTACGATCCGAATGGCCGCTACCCGCTGCGCTTGATTGAGCTTAGCTCAGCAGCGGGAGGAGGCCGATAGGCGCTTGGCCCATATCAGCGTAGTAGCCCGTAGAGGGCCATGGATCGTATCACCGCACAATAGAGGCGACGAACTTAAGTACTCCCGCGGCCCCCTAGGTTAGGCAACAGCCTCTGTAGCGAGCGCGCCACACCGTTTTGACGTACCTAAGTTGTTATTTAATTTCTATAGATCATGCGACTGGAGAATTGTTTAGTGCTTCATGCACTAAATAATTCCTGTACTGGTTTACAGGACATAACCAATCAACAGAATTCAGAAATCACTTTATGAATTTATATCACTTCTAAACAATAGCTACGTTAAAAGCAATTTTGCACAAAAATCGTCTAGTTTTACTACAATCTTCGACTCTTATTTCTTTGACCTTCTATAATAAGGTCGATATAAGCTAGGGTTGCGATTATCAAACCACAACAAAGGGATACTTAGATAAGTGTTTATGGTTATGTAATTGTGCGTGCCTTTTCATTTAATTATTTATTTAATACTTCTTGGATATACATTGCATAAGGCGGACATTCTTTTTTTAATTTGTCACAATGCTTTTGCGGCGAATTTCCCGAAGCTTGTACCGATGTCTTATTTACGCTGAATTTATATCTGTACCTGCCAACTATCAATTTAACTGGTCCATTTGAATCTTGTAAGGCTTCTTTTTCTCGTTTTAATCAAATGGCATGGCACTCAAAAAACATACAAATTGATAAAATTAACTCTAACATCTAATATCTTCTTAACGGAAGGACAGTCAGAAATAATCATAAACATTATAAAGTTAAAAACAATAAATAGCCCTTATATTTTTACCGTTGTTAAAAAAACGTAAATGTCTTGAAAATTGAGAGAATTCTAGTAAAATTTGTTCAGATGACAACCCTATGAACATTTGATTGTAACGAAAGCCGTAACACGCAGACCTGTCTCCCTTTTCTAAATCGTCTGGATTGACTAGTTTACTTTTTATTTTCGTTCGATCGTCCGAACCTACGTGATATCTCGCGTTTGATGTCTGATCCTCAGAACACAAACTAAAGCAGTTCGACCTTTCAATGTTTCTTTTTAAAGCTGTTCAAAATCGTTTGGCATTTTCATTTTTCTTTACGCTTCGAGCTTAATTTTTTTTATGTACACATAGGGCTTTGTAGCTAAATGCTACTAAAGGATTTTTTTATTTTAATTACCTTTAGTCAGTCTATGTGACCTAAGTAGTTTCATAGCGTATCAATTTTTGTATGTCTAAGGTACGGTTTGGAAAATTGAATTATTAATAAACATGTCTTAGTATCTTGATTAGATCCTTGTAATTCCATTCATAGAGAATTTTCATCATCAGATTATTTTGTCAATTTAAAGATAAAAGTTAGATTTGTTAGTTTATTCGGGTATTTTATCAGTTTGTTTTAAGCAAAAAATAAAAATTGTCATTAAATTGTGGTGTATTATAAACCTTATAAACCGACCGAATAGCACGTTGTTTAGGCTGTGCAGAATGTATATATTTTGATTTGACTGCAGCGACTATTAATATGGGGATCATTGTCCGACTAATTTATAGTTATCTGTGACTAGTTTGTAGTTATCTGTGACTAGTTTGTAGTTATCTGTGACTAGTTTGTAGTTATCTGTGATCGTTTAACTTGTCAAAGAAAACTGTAAACAAAACAATTCTCAGTCGACTGTCAGTTTTCTAATTTCTATGTTGTTGTTACGATTGCTGGAGCCGGGCGGATATATGTTAATGCTTAGTTAATATAAAAGTATAGTTTTAATTAGAATATTGACACCACAGTTAGAGTTTAGAGTTTATTACACTATGCCTTGTTTTCGTTACCCGATTTTAATATTCATTTTCATATTTTCTTTAAACCAAGTTGACCTTTTAGAGAACGGTGTAGCTCGCACCCCTCCAATGGGGTGGATGTCGTGGGGATATTACATGTGCAGCATTAAGTGCGAACGAGAATCAGATAAATGCCTCAAGTAAGAAATTTAATTTCCTCGCAATTCATTGAATTAAGCGAAAAATTCCCGTCTGACATTTCGCTTCTTAGAAAATAAACAATAATGCTGAAAGGACTGTTTTATTCTTGGATTGGATTCTTATACAAAAGAAAGTATAATAGGATTCTAAGAAATTGGACAATGTAGAACTTATAAAATATTTATGTAAATTACCAAACAATACTCAAGTATCAGAAGTAGTACTTGCATAATCATTTTTATTATTCCGTTACTGTTTTTTATCTGTTGTTATAAACTGTTTAATTAGTTTACAGTAAACAATAGATATTAAGGTAGCAAACCATGCAGGACAACGGTACTGCAAAGATAAGGTAAACTTGACACAAACCCTGTACCAACCACTCTGGCCAGCATAGTATAGTAGGCCAAAACCTCCTCTCTAAGGAGATGCCTATGTCCAGCAGTAGGCTATCAAAGGCTGTTGATGATGTTATAATTATAGGTCTTTGTGTTTAGTTATAAAGTAATTAAATAATACTGACTTTCAAATGTTTTGATTAACTTATCCAATTTAATGTCATGACCATGTAATGTAATGGCAATTATATCTATATATATCATGCTAACTGTAAAAAGCACAAACAAGCCCAAACAAAACTGAATGACATAAGTCAGTTGAAATTATCACAATTTCTTTTTTAGTAGATAACAGCAAAAGTTTAAACTGTTTTGAATAGAATACATGAGCATGTTTAAAAGATTATTGAAAAAACATGCATTTATTGTTTACATGGGGCTTATATTTATTCTGTGTAGTGTAGCATGTTTTACAACAATATTTCTATTTGAGTTCGAATTATGTAATTTAAGAAAACAATCCTGGTTCTTAAAAGAAAGAATATTCAGGACTGTCTTTTATTTTCTCTCCAATTTGGTCGATCAGGAGTTTTTAAAGACTTATTTCTTATACAATTATTATGTATCAACAAATATCAAACAAGATAAAGTTTTTTAAATAAAAAAAAACACTTTTTAGAAGAAAGAAAATCAAGGTCCTTCTTGAAAGAACATCCTCGACAAACTTTTCTTTTCATTTCTTCTTTATTCATAATTTGTGTTCAAATCTTTCATTTAGTTGCTTAAATGTACATACAATTTAGTTTTTTTTTTTTTAAAAGACAACAACAATAAAAACTATTTATATTTTACAGTGAGCAACTAATTATGTCTGTTGCTGACACCTTTTACAATGAAGGGTACCAAGAAGCAGGGTATGAATACATCATTGTCGATGACTGCTGGGCTGAAAAGCATAGGGACGAACATGGAAGACTTGTGCCAGATAAAAAAAGATTTCCTAGAGGAATGAAGTTCCTTGCTGATTATGTCAGTATTTAAAATCAGTTATGTCAGTTCAAAATCAATTTATATATTTTATTAAATTTATGTAGGCATATGTATGTATGTGTGTTAATATATTGTGTGTCTCTGGACTTCAATTATGTTATATTTAATATTTTATTTTGCACCTACCACATCATATTTCTACATCACCTGAAGGTTGACTGGGAGAGAATTCATAATGGCATGAAGTCCGCCTTTGTACAACATGTGCATTAAGTTTTAAATAAATAAAATCAACTTTTGTTATAGTTCATGTAGATCTATGTTCCTGTAAGATTCTTATGGTAGTGAGGAATGTTAATGTGCACTAAAACTTTAAAAGTACAACTTTGGATGTAATATAACTTAAGAAGTTTATAAATTAAAATAAATCGATATATTTTTTTAAATAATTTTACACATCTCATACACAGCCATCTGATCTCAAACTTAGCAAAGTGTAAAATATTAACCAGATTAGGTACTGATAAACATGCTTATGTTTCTAATGGATATTATAGATCACTGATTTCCAGTTACAACAATTAGGTTGTTAAACCAAATTGTAATAAGATGATTTTTAACACAAATCAAGCAAAAAATGACAATAGTATTAAAACTAAAAGCTCTCCAGATCATAACTAATTATGATTATGAACTTCACATAATTAATTATTTATAATATTTGTTTTTAGATACATTCAAAAGGTCTGAAGTTTGGTATGTACACAAATTTGGGCCCAACAACTTGCATGCATTTCCCCGCATCACAGGGCCACTTCTCGATTGACGCAAAGACATTTGCAGAGTGGGGTATAGATTATCTCAAAGTTGATGGCTGTTTTATTCAAGAAAATGTTCTCAATGAAGGTAAGGTTTAACAATTATTATAATTTATTATTAATGTTTATTCCTAATATAAAAAAATAGTAGCTGCGTAATAGCACAAATTTCTGAGAAGGGATAGGAAACATGTTACATGTCAGTAAGCGGTCTTAAATAGTTAGTGATTTTGCAGCACTTAATTGCATAGAGTATTAAAAGACAACTCCCTCATTACGAATATATCCTGTGTCGCAGGAGACTTTACAAACATACATGAAACATACACAAAGAACACCCAGACTCAGAACAACAATTCGTAGATCACACAAAGTGTCGTCCCATGTGGAGATCGAACCCACAACACTCAGCGTAGTAGAAAGCGGCCATCCATGCAGTCAAAAGATTAGCAAATCTATGGAAAGTTCATTCAGAAAACTAATTTTTGAGTAGATTTTTGTGTTCTAATATCATAATTACAACAGTATATTTTAATTGAAGTTCAAGAAACTAAAAACAAACAGTTACATTTTGCTTTTCACAAAAAAGTTATTTTTAAATTCCGTTGAAACTAAATTATTTTTTTGGATTAATTGTACTCGATGACTTTTTACTTTTGACGAAAAAATTGTAATATAAATCTGTTTAAGAAAAAATTGTTTTTTTTTATGGTATTGAAGGGCAACCGAACATTCATGGCATCACTCTTGTTAAATGGGTCTGTTTGTGCCCGAGCATGGCTCTCCCACAGTTAGAAATAACTTAATTTCTTTTTTTAGGTTATATAGACTTGGGCGAATTTTTAAGAAAAACTGGAAGAGACATAGTGTATTCGTGCAGCTGGCCTTATTACATACAATTTATTTACAACAAAGAGGTAATTTAACTTACTTAATATTTACAATAGGCAATTAAAAAAGAAAACTACCCTGTTGTCCCGGATTGGCTGTTCACATACCAAGTTATAGTTTGCAAGTACCTTTAGGAAATCCCAGTATAGTATTTTATTTCTACTCTACCAATCTGTAGTTGTTTACGTAAAGTTGGCAACACCGGAATGGCACGACATGTATTGTTTTTAGGCACCGGCAACAGCCTACGACGAGCCTTGTCTTGTCTTAGGCTGTTACCGGTCACTTATTCGCTATCTGGACGCACCCCTGTAACTCGAACAGGTTAATGAAGGAAAGTCTATAACAAAAATAACGTCAAATAAGTTTCATTTTATTTAACGGTAGTAGTTTTTAACAGAAAGTTCTTTAGAAAATTGTATGAGATATTAGCGTATGATGTAGTTCAATTTGTGTGTCGTTTAATTTTTGTTTTTTTTTTCCAAATAAGAAATAATATAATAAAAAACATAAAACGGAAAATATTTGTTTTTAAAAAACATTGAACTAAATTAGTTTTTTTTACTGTAGTTACTAGGCACATGCTACTACTAGGCCTTTTATAATAATGACACCACAAAGGCATCATATGAAATTATACGTTAAGTTGCGGTCAGACCAAAAGAAACCGACTATGTGCCTGTGAATATGATTTCTGATTTGATTACTTTAGCCTATATCTCTATAAGGATCTTCAATGACTTAACTATCCGTACTTAAGTACTCAGATATATTGTGTAAATCGCAATATTTACTAAACATATCAAGGGCTAAGTTTAACTGTTTTTCGATGCTAATTCAACGACCAGTCATAAAAATTGCTAATCTTATCGCATACTGTATATGTATGTATTTGAGGTGTGTGCTAAAAAGATTGTAAGAGGTTGCTATGCACATATTGTTTTTATATTTCTTTAGTAATTATGTAAAAAAAAGGGACGTCTGGCTTATGTGAAACGTCGCAGTAATAAGTATAAAATCACTTTGATAATTAGCGTGAGAGAGTCGCAGAGTCACTTGCGCATGGCGACTCGTCGCCACATCGCCTTACATGTCACATAGCTAACTTCCGGTCTGACTCTCCGCGTTAGATGTTTCTAATGTAAGCTGGACTTGGATTTATTAAATAGTTATGTGAGTATTTAAATAGTTTGAGTTACAGGTATGTGGTGACTCTTCTCTCTTCTGAACTTTATCTTTTCATTTAGGTACTTCCAATTCTCAGTGTTGAGGGCAATAAGTTATTCCCCTATTCCCTGAATGAGACCAAAGCACATTTCGTAAACAAATTTTTTTGGACTTGCCATCAATTTGGTTACGGGTTTGAACCCCATCCAGTGCACTACCTACGTATACTCCTGACACAAGCATTTAGTTTAGTTGGACCACCGTTATTTACTTTTATAAAAATGCAAATATTAAAATGCTGGTGTTCAACACGGCTCTGACTATCCCCTCTTCTTGGTCACGTCTGTAAACTGAGTTTTTTTTTTTTTTTTAAACAAATCCCGCATTAGGAGTACATCCTGTGTCGCGGGGGACTTTACAAACATACATGAAACGGACACAAAGAACACCCAGACTCAGAACAACAATTTGTGGATCACACAAAGTGTCGTCCCATGTGGGGTTTGAACCCACAACACTCGGCGTAGTAGGAAGCGGCATGGCGACCGCTTAAACCACTACGCCATCCGTGCAGTCAAATACCTGCAACAACAAATACCTGTATAGAAAACCTTACTTTTCAGCCGGACCTTGAACGGGTTGGACGTTACTGCAATCTGTGGCGAAATTATCACGACGTTATGACGTCATGGACTTCAATTATTAACGTAATAGATTTTTATGAGATGAACTACAAACAGCTGTCACCTTACCACGGCCCTGGACATTGGAATGATCCGGACATGGTGTGTATACAGCTTAACCTCTACTTTTATTCAGAAGACACAATGCGTAGAAAAAGGGACTGTAGTATATACATACTACAGTTCCTTTTTCTGTCGTCTAGACAACATTCCCCATACAAATAAAGACGACTAAACCACCGCTGGCAGGTCGCTTTAATCTTTGATAGAGGGCCATTGTCTGTCGTGTGTTTGTACAAATAACTTAAAATATTTAGGAATAAAAAAAATTGTATGGTAGTTATATTTAGAGATTAAATATCTATTCAAACTCTATCTAAATTTATAAATTTTACCGCCTTTAATATAATAGAACAGATACAATACAAAGTAATGCACATTTTTTCAGTTGATTTTAGGCACAGGCGCCCTCACAGACAGCCAGAGTCGCGTACACTTGGCCGTGTACGCCATGATGTCGGCGCCATTATTGCTCAGTTGTGACATGGCTAAATTAACTAATTATGAGAAAAAAATACTGCAAAATTTAGACTTGATTGCCATTGCCCAGGATACCCTCGGTATTATGGCAGAGCCACATACTGTGAGTGTTTTTAGTCAACTTCATTGAACCTTATACGTGAGAGGACCATGCTTCGGTTCAGCAATGGGCTGGCTCGACCAGAGTGATAAGACGGCCTCTTAGTAAATCGTTGTTAAGCAGTTCTTTCATTGCTTTTTACGTATAATTTCATAAAAAAGTCATAAATGTACCGAATCCACAATTTTGTTTTAAAAAATATGTAAATAGTTATAAATTATACTAACTTCTGGCCGCGGCTCCGCCCGCGTTTATCGCAGTAAAAAGCAACCTATGTTACTCGCTGAGAATGTAGCTTTCCATTGGTAAAATATTTTTTTAAATTGGTTGCATGGTTTAGCGTAACAAACAAACAAACAAACTCATTTTCACATTTATAATATAAGTTTGAATGTATATGGAAGTTAAGGCAAAGTTAATAATTATCACGTTTTAAATACCTTTGAATTGTCTGGCCTTTGACTTGAATTGATGATCGAATGAAATCCAATCAATTGAATTCGATTTGTCAACCAACTTTCAAATATCTAAGTTTTTTTTTATGTTAGAGAGGGCAGACGAGCAGACGGGTCACCTGATGGAAAGTGACCATCGCCGCCCATGAACGTCTGCAACTCAGGAGTCACAAACGCGTTGCCGGCCTTTTAGGAAGCAGCACGCTCTTTTCTTGAAGGTTTAAAGGTCGTATCGGTCCGGAAATACCATAATAAGTTTAATTATATATGTTATGTTACAGTTAGGTAGCGGTGTTACATTATGGGTAAAACCTCACGAGCCGAGAAAAGGGAACAAGTACCCAAGCTTCTCGTTCGCCTACGTCAACATGGCCATATTCGAGAAAGAAATATTAAGCACTCCGCTGATATATGGCCTCAATTCATCAGACTCTTACACTATTTATGTGAGTTTTTTTAGATTCAATATTTTTTTATTATCTCAGCGATGACGGCCCATTAAAGCTATTCAAAGGGATTCCATGTTCTTGATATTAGTTTTTTCTGCCAGTAACAGTGTTTCTTCATAGACTAAAATAAATCGTTCCTTTTTTGAATATTTTTTTTTCCAAAGATGTTTTGATCGTTGTCTATTACATACATAAATCTCATTAATATGACCGTCTGTACCTATAATACGTGACCAGTTTGGAACAGCTATCCAATTAGTTAAAAATAAATGAGCCCTCGTGGGCTTTCTGTGCACAATATACTGTACTTAAAACCCAAATTACTTAATATGGAAAAAATGGGAATAGTTTTTCCAAAGTTATACAATTTTAACAAATCACGGTGTCCGTTTCAGGATGTATTTTCAGGCTCTTACATCAAGAACATCACCCGGGACGAGCGTATCAAAGTTACGGTACCAGGACATGGTAAGTCATAATTCAATACTATGTCCTGAAGAAGCAATTGTGAGCTATCAGCTTCCTTAAAAGAAATGTTGTAATTTGGTAATGATTTAGTAATGACTGAAACAGTGAAAGAAAGTTGTTTAAACTCCCCAATAAGTAGATGGCAACACTGTAAACCCGTACTGATTAGAACACACGACTGAGTTACAGTTGTTGGGTGTAAACGACACCCCAGTGGTGTAGTTCAGTGGTGTCATTTACAATACACAGATTAGACAAGCGAGGCTGTGCGTCATAAATAAAAAAAGACGTGTGGCAGTCGGGGACTGCCGCGGTAAAGCTATTGCATAGCATTTTGTATCAACTTATGCAATTATAATTATTTATTTATTTTATTTATGCAGTATTTATTTTTCTTTGATATTAATTCAAGTTACACTTTTTGAGCGTGGTGACCGATAAGAAAACATTTTTTTTTCTTTTATTAAATAAAAATATTGAAGCATATATTACAATTTGTTTTTAAATAAATAAATAAAAAATATTATTATTAAATCAAATTACATATTTTTGATGTAAGATTTTTCTGCATTATTTTGACGAAATTTCCTTTGACGTTCAGCATTTGATTTTGGTACTGTTTTTTGTTTTGTTTTTAGCGTGAGGTTTTTTTTCGTTACGGAATTTCTGGATTCGGTCCCCGCGCTCAAGGCCCTCGATAGAAGCTATGCAATAGCTTAAAAATTGAAGACGTTACGATCAAAATCGGTTCTTTTTTTGCACACGGATATGTCTTTAAAATAGAAGACGCTTATTAGTTTTGTATGTAGATTATTGTTATTAATAATATTCTAAGTAAATATTTTATGGAATATGTATTTATTGGTGTCGGATTTCTAAAGATCAATCCTATACTTAATATTCACAAAGTTGTATAACTAAGAATTTACACAAAACAACATTACTAACACACAATTACGCATGTGCACATGCATGTACACACGCATACAAGTGGGCACTCACGCACGCACGCACACACGCAAACACGCAAACAACTTTAAAAAAAGAATTTCTTTTTCGTATTAATGTTAAATGAGATTTTTTTCACAGATTCTGATCTCAATAATTAGAGAAAATTGAGAAATACAGACACTGATATAATGTAAGTGTATTAAAGTCTGTTTTGTTTGAAAATATATTTATTTGTTTCAGATGTGGTGTTGTACACATTCTATCCTCTATAAGGTTAATTCATTAATAATTGATAAGTAGTCCAAAAACACATGTCTTGTAAAATGCATGTTGTAGTTGAAGGCAGATATTCTATAGATACAAGACTAGGAGTTAAGACGTTTTAATATTAATCTTTCGAAGACCAATGTTCTGAAAAGAGAAGGAAAACGTCTGGCCAAGGTGGTATACTAGGCCAAAACCTCTTAAGGAGTGGGCCTGTGTCCAGCAGTGGACTATTAAAGGCTGTTGATGTGATGATGAATGCACGTTCATCTCTAGAGGTGTTCATGAACGGCAGTAGTCTCTTATTATCCAGTTACCCGTCTTCTCGTTTATCGTATTACATAAGTAAAAAGTATTAATTTAAATTTCACTTATGGTATTCATTTTATGTGTTTATTGTTAGTTTTTTTTAATAGTGCAATAATAGGTTAAGCTATATTTTAAATAAATAAATAAACTTCCCTCAAAAATAAAGCAATTTATAATAACCCATCACGATAACTGCAAACGTTAATTTGGTCACCTACCTACTAAGCCGCGCTGAGTTCGTTCGAATCCAACCTTGCATCCTCCGAGCCTTTTTCCTAAACTAGGGTGGGCTCGGCTTTAAGGCTACTACGATACGGCTGAACTTCGTTTTTTTTTACTGCCATCAGACCCAAGTACTATGCGATATCGAAGTTGTTCCACCACAGATGTTCGGAAGGCAACCGGGACCGACTGCTTAACGTGCTCTCCGAGGTACGGAGGGGACACAGTGTGTTAATAATGGTCACCCATCCATAGCCTGACCTGACTAGGATTGCTTAACTATGCAATGTGTTAACCTACTCCCTGCCCTAAGAGTTCGATTCCAACATGATTCAGACATATGTGTGAATTAAAAATTCCGAAGTCTGGGTTTCCACAACACAAGGATCATTAGTAGACTTACAGTCTTCGTTAAAACAAGACTGTACTGTTCAACACATGCATTACAGACCTCTGTAAATAAGAAACAAAATATTATGCTTTCACTTGAGGCTTATTCTGCGTCATTCTCTTATTATTTTAATTCAATATCTTACCTCACTAAGGGGTACAGTTCAGTAACTGTAAAAAATATATATATCACTTTACATATCACTTTTATGTCTAGCTTTTTTCTTATGTACTTGAAAACATTCTGAACTGTGTCACCCACACTATGTTTTGCATATGAACTATGAATATTTGAATGTATATTTTGCCCTATTAGATAGACTACACGACAGAGCTCGCTTTTAACATTCTACCCTTGAATTTAGGTTGTAAAACTGGGATAAGTCAATAGTACGACATTCATACTGTTTTAAAAGGCGAGGTCGGAAGCGGTTTTTGCTTCGCCTCTCAAAGCCGGGTAGTTCTGTTTTTTGAGTATTCTTTACTTTTCGGTAGTGAATCTATATTATGCATATTGTTGACTTGCATTTTATAGTATAAAGCTGAAGGCTGAAGTTTGTTTTTTGTTTGGTTGAACGCGCTAATCTCAGAAAATACTGTTTCCAATTAAAAAAATATTTTATGGTTGGATTGCCCATTTATTCAAGAAGGCTATAGGCTATATAACATTACGGTACGACCAATAGGAGCAGACATCAATAAAAAATAACAATAACGGTTGCAATATCGGAGAATTTTATCCCTTTGATTGACGCAGATGAATTAGGAAGTTGCACAGGTCAGCTAGTATTATTATTAGATTATTGTGTGACAATTATAGGCACTACAAATTTTATGGCCCTTTTTCTCTGGTCGGTTCTTCATGTCTGAGTATCGTCGTTAGCACCAGGCTTGCACCTGGAGCGGATGATCTTTCTGCGCCGGTTATTTTCCAACCCGTCTCTTACGACCGTGTCTAAATTAAGAAACGATGGGCCTTTTACATATAGCGTCGCTGGCGTATGGTAGACAAGAGAGTTTTAATTCACAGTTGGGTCAAGACCGCATTTATGTGTTTTATAGTCCAAGGGATTTTTATCGTGATTTAAAGCACTAAGACGTGACGTCATTCCTTGTTACTGCACACGGTTCGGTACATTCTTGCCGAATCGTTTTGACATTTAGTGAGAAGATACTAGTTTGATTTGACAATCATCTGTTAGTGGGTGGTTTCAACATAAAAAGAATCAGCTGCCAATAATTTAAGTTTCTAGTCCTAGCGGTTTTTAGGCTCTGCGTTGAAGACAACAACTGTAAAAGCGAATATAGCGATGAATGAGGCTCGACCCCGAGGAGCCACCAAATCGCACGGGCCATTATAACTATTTATGATATTTTTTTTAAGAACGTTAAATTAAATTCAAAGTGGCTTCTAGTTTACATTTTCTAGATAAATAGTTAGGACTCGCGTATCTCTAGGCCACCAGAACGATATTCTTATAAACTCGCGAGGCGAGTCCTTGGCAACGAACGTGTTACTGTGAAAATAGGTATTTTATAAGTAGTAAGTTAGTTATTGCAATGCGTTCATTAACAATGTTACATGCTGGATTATGTATCTATTGAATTGTTAATGAAAATACATTGTATCTGGTGACAGCGTCAGTTTCGCTGTCAAGCGATTACACGTTCGTTACCCGCCCTTGTCACATGCCGTTTACTTAACTGGAGAGGGGTTATTAAGAATACTAGTGTCCTTTAGTTAGCTAAGAACCTTTTATTATAAGAATTCTTTTGATTTAGTCCCATTTTAAGATGAAAGAGACTAGATTATGAATTCCGTCCGTCAAATTAAATGTTATACTTATTATTGTAAAAGTATTATGATATTTAATATAAACACATAAGTATCAAAACAGATTGTCTTTTATTGTTTGCGAGTAATCCCAATATTAGAAATAAAACATAAAAAGTTGAAGATCGAAAAATTGTTGTGCCAGTCTTAAAATATTTTCAATGAATATTTGAATGTAGGTATATAGTTGCTAAATAGTTTATTAATTTCACGACCTGACCCCAATTCTGGGGTGGGGTTAGTTGTGACTTGGGTACATGAGTGGCGGTAGTCACTTACCATCGGACGACCCGTATGCTCGATTGCCCCCGATGCCATAAAAACAAATTTAATACCAGATATTATTGGATATCAGCTGTTCTGAGCATTCTGGAAAACGAAGAACACCTTGCGCCATTCCCGTAGTATTAGTTTGCGTCTAGACTCCAAAAGAAAGAAGACAGAAAAACAATTTATTCGTGGACGTAAGAACATACACTCACAATATAAGGAAAACTAAATACTATAGCGAAAATACATTTTACGTGTAGGGATCTCATGTGCCAGTAGAATAGGACCTGGTTCAGCGTCTGCTTGACTGACGTCAAGCGCTGGTTTTCAACCAAACATTTAAATGAGTGACGCAAAAACAGTTCGCTTTCCATTTATTTTTTTGTAATTATTCTCCATTTCTACTATATTTAATAATAATAATAATAATAATAACATTTATTTGCGAATATGGGTACAATAGTAAAGTTGTTAAAAAGGTAATTTTCGTTCCTTCATATTCCACCTTATGGCATGCAAATATTTCAATATACTTTTGTTTATATTACAATTTCACTAAAACATTTCAAACATAATCTAGACATAATTCATGAGTCACATCTATATAAAAATAACAAAAAAAAAAAAAAAAAAAGTTAATGTCAAAATTTGTGTCAAGATAAATTACAATAATTATTATGTCAATTAAATAGTAGATCATGAGTCAAATTAACTAAATTGTAGTAAATAGAATTTAAAAAAGAAAAGCATAATGTTTATATTAAATATTTGTCTTCTAAGTATTCCTTAACACTGTAGTATATTTTTTGTTGTAATATAATCTTTAATTTAAATTTAAATTCACTAATGCTATCTAATTTACATATATTCACAGGAAGTTTGTTGTAAATCCTAGATGACATACACAATATGCTTCTATTTACAAGCTATGTTTTATTAGGCATCGTTTTTATTTTATATTCATGGCGACGGCCATTTAAATGAGTGAATAAGTGCATATTTTTTTTTACAAACAGCCACCTCCAATATATACATGCATGGGAGAGTGAGTAAATTAAGACTTTTAAAAATTGGTTTACAGCTGTCAGTAGTCTTAAGTCTATAAATGGCTCTAATACATTGCTTTTGTGCTTTAAAAACATACTCCCAGTTAGTAGAGTTTCCCCAAAAGATTATACCATAGCGCATTAATGATTCTGCATATGCATGATATGCTGTTACAACCGTAGATGTATTTGCTGTTTTTGATAACATGTACAGAGCATACGAGCTTTTACTAAGTTTGGAGCATAGATTTTCAATATGTACCTTCCAATTTAGGTTGCAATCAACATCTAGGCCAAGGAACCTTGCAAAGTCAACCTCTTTTATTTTTTTACCTGAGAACTCGTTTTCAAAATTCAAAGCAGGTCGAGTTCTGTTTCTAAATAGCATTAGACTGGATTTTTCCAAATTAATAATAAGGTTATTGCTTGTTAGCCAATCAACTATATTTGTTAGGTGTTCGGTTATGCTGTGTTTCAATTTATCATGGTTTTTATCAGAAAATATGACAGTGCTATCGTCAGCGAAAAGAATCATTGGAGAGGTAACAGCTCCTGGGAAATCGTTGATATAAATTAGAAACAACAGGGGTCCCAAGACGCTTCCCTGAGGAACACCGTACTTAATTTCTCTATACCCGGACAGAAAGGATCGTTCTTTTATCTCCATTTTACACATTCTAGTAATCATAGTTGCTTGTTGTCTATGGCTCAGATAAGAAATTATTAGATTCAGGGCGTTACCCCTTAAACCACAACTATACAACTTGTTTTTTAGGAGTTCATGGTCAACACAATCAAAAGCCTTTGTAAGATCCATGAACAAAGCACAAACCGGCGTATTACGGTCGACATTAAGCATCACTTCCCTAAGCAATTTGTAAATAGCTCTGTTAATAGACATATTTTTCCTAAATCCTGTTTGCACTTCGGTGATAATATTATATTTCTCCAAAAAATTATATAAACTCTCATAGATAATTTTTTCAAGCACCTTAGATAATACAGGTATAAGGGCTATAGGCCTGTAGTATGTCATGTTCTCCTTATCCTGCTTTTTAAACAGTGGTTTTATAATGGTGGTTTTTAGTCTTGATGGAAATATGCCATCACAGATACACAAGTTAAAAATGTGACTGAGAATTGGAGATATAACTTGGCCTACATACTTGATTATTTTGGTCCCTATTTCATCATAGCCAGTGCTATTCGTGTTCTTAAGCGATTTTATTATTCTGTGTACGTCTTGTGGTGTGGTAGGTTGAATAAATATTGAATTACAATTATAATTATTGCATGTGGGTTTATTATTAAATGTCAATTTATTATGTGTTTTATTATTGGATGTCAAATTATTTTTAAATGTCAAATAATTATTGGTTGATGATTTTTCATTTTGAATTAGTGTTTCAATTTGATCAATATAAAAATTATTAAAACTTTCTGCAATTGCTCTCGGATCTGTAACTAATTTCCCATTTACATAAATCTGTGTGATATAATCTTTTGGTATATTAAACTTACTTCTATTTATTATGTTCCAGGTTGCTTTAGTCTTATTCTGGCTACTTGAGATATAATAATCATTCTGTGATTTCTTTGTTAGTCTAATTATTTTATTTAATCTCATTGAGTACGTTTTAAATTTAATTCTGTCAGTGACACACTTAGTTCTCCTGTATTTCAAAAGTAAGCTGCGTTTTCGTTTAGAACATAGTTTAATTCCTTTGCTAATCCATTTTTGTTTTTGATATATGGACCTTTTATGTTTAACTTTGGGGAAACATAACTTATAAAGGAGAACAAATAGGTCATGAAAATAGTTAAACGCTTGTTCGGGATTGTTGCTACTATATACATCACTAAATGAAAGACAACTTATATATTTTTTAAATTTTTCTAAATTTTCAACACTATAATCCCTTTTTTCAACACTCCAATGTTCAATTCTACAAAAGGCTTTCACAGGACAGGTTAGTAATTGTGCTGTATGATCCGAGAGAGCCAGATCAAAGATGTTACTTTTGGACCCTTTAACATTGTGTATTATATGATCTATGCAGGTTTGGCTAGATAAACGTGTCGGAGACTCTATAGCTAGTTTAAGATTGTATTGGGCTAAAATGCATTTGTAATACGTTGTCAATTTATTTCTTTTTAAAATATTAATATTTAAGTCACCACAGACAATGATCTTTTTATTTTTATGGCAAAAATTGTGTATTAAATCATTAAATTTACAAAAAAAAACTATCAATGTCGTTGCGATTACTGCTGGGAGGTCTGTACACACATATTATCAGGATGTTGTGATCTACAAGTTCTATCGCACTACACTCCAAAATGTTAAAAATTTCATATTGTTTAATTTCCTCAACCGTTTTAAATTTGTGCTTATGATGCACAAGTATACAGGAGCCTCCATTTCTATTTTTTCTCGTACATGCGGAACCTAGGGTAAACGACTCTAAGCATAACTGAGATGTATCTTGTTGTATCATGTTATGTTCGGTTATACATATAATGTCAACATCAATTTTTTTCTGTAAGAGTGTATTTAGACTCACACACAGTAAATCAAGTTTATTTATGAGCCCGTTAATATTCTGATGAATGACATTGATTGACTTATGCACGAAAAAAATTATCATCATTTTCCTTGTGAGTGTCAGTTGGCTCATTTATAATATTGTTACTACTGTCTGACAAAGATTTATTTACCTGGCTTATTTCTTCAAAATCATTTGTTTGCGTGGCCTTTTCTATTAAAACTTTATTTTTATTTGCCAAAGATACATGAAAATCAGTAGCTCGTAAATGATAATCTTTAGCTAATATTTCTCTTAATAAATTTTGACATATATGGATAGGCAAAAATCTGCGATATGGTACCCTTGTGGAAAAACCCATGTCGATGTACTTTGCATTTTGAAATTTTGAACATAGCAGCTTAACTTCATAGTTTAATTTTATTTCGTTGAGGTATCTATTATAGGGAATTTCGCAAATCATAACATTCGTATTTCTATAAGAGCATAAGAAATGACTTACACATATACCAAAAATGCTCGGAGATCGGTCATTTATACCACCAACTACGATAGCGTAATCTTTTTTTGTCAAAAGATTCAATTGTGTACCCTCTGACATCAAAACATCTTGTAATGTAGCTCCTGGTTTCCAGAATGAGGTGACGTGAAACCGTTCACCAATTAAAAGCTGTAGTGTACGTTGCAAATAGCGTCCTTGGTCATCAGCAATAATAATAATTTTGTTTTTTGTTTCTATGCATTTATCGGGAATTTTATTTGTGAACAGTGATTTTGTGGGTACACCTATAATTGTTTCATTTTGTATACATTTACTCGTATTCGAGTCCTTAATAGGCATGCCATTTTCAATTTGTATGCCAGGTGTATTTTTATTGTTTGTAATTTTGGTATCCTGCTTATCATCAGAGTGGGGATTTAGAAGTTGATTTTGTGAAATTCTTATCATATTCGTGGATTCTGTATTTGAGTGTATTGCAGTCGTATTTTTTGTAGGCGTTAAAACAATACGTTGTTTTCTTTTTTTACAACTACTTGTCCTTGGCGTACAGTTCTCAGAGGTGATCTTTTTAAATGTCTCCGTCACTTTTAGGCTTTTGTTTAGATCTGACTTTAATCTGAGATTCTCAATATTTAGATTTTCTATTTCTTCGTGAGCACTTGCTAATTGGTTCGTGAGCTCATTAATTTTTTCTTTCATTTCTTTAACCGTTTGATAGTCATCAACCTAGGTGTTCGGCAAACTCATCAGGGTAGTATCAAATAGGGATGAATCGGATTTTGATATTTCGCATAGTGAGCTCGATCGTTTGTGTCTACGCGTTCGGTGAGTGATGTTTTCATGTTCGTCCATAATTTCATCCATATTAATTACAGCAGTTTGGGAAACTAAATTATAGATGGCAGTACTAGTAAGATACTACGCTATAGGTCTATGCATTAGTTTTTACTGGACCGCGACCGATAGTTAATGTCATTATGTTGGTAGAACTGTGAACCTTGTTTATTTTGAATTTCAAATTGAAAAAACGACACTCACGCAGTGTTTTACAATAACAATTTAGTTTCTTGCGCTCTTGAACAAATGTATGTATTGTTTTGAGTCAATTTAGTCACTTTTAAACACTTGCCGTGCAAGTAATCCTCTTTCACACACACAGTTTAAAGTAATTAACCAGTTTACTATGCACATTGTTTATTGTTGCTTTAACGTTTAATAACATAATAACATAACCTGAACATAATTAGATAATTAAGTATTTTATAATTGATCTCTAGATTATAAAGATAATGATAATACAATTATCCTACAGTAATTATAAATAAATTAACGTACGTAATAGTTCACAGAACCACAAAGACCCATTAGGGTAGGTACCTACGTATCTTAATTAATAAGGCTATCGCAATCAAACCTCAAGCCAATATGATTTATAATTTAGGGCCTATATATAATATAAACAATGAGTCTTTCTAATTCAGTAGTAGGCTGATAGTCAAAATGAAGTTTCTGGTCGTAATAGTTACGCTCTGCGTTGCACATGGCATCCACGGTCAAGGGTTAATTGGAAGCTTAGTGGGTGGAGCCACAAACGTTATCGGCAACATTCTTGGAGGAGGGCGCAATGATCCTTGTTCACGTAATGTGATCGAAGACTACCGAGAAGCACAAAGCCACTTCTTCAAAACCTTATATGCAAAGGTAGCAGCTCGAAGTGATAACCATTTTGTATTTTCGCCGATCACTATTTGGCTGTCTCTTTCTGCATTAGCTGAAGGCGCGGAACCTATAGTACAGAGTCAAGTTCTTACCTCATTGTCTCTGCCGCAAGAAAAATGCATTCGGAATAAATTCTATGAAATTGCCTTGCGTGTTGAAGAATCTGGACGAGATGTCAGCTTCGAAAGGCGGCGATGTCTTGTTATCGACGAATTTCTAGAAGTTAACCCAACCTGGTCAAAGTATGTAACAAACTATGGACTTCTTGCTGTGGTTGCAGCGCCTATCAAATCTAGCCCTGAAGCAACTTCTGAGCGTCTAAAGAAGTTCCTAGAGACGCGTTTTGATATCAATTTTAAGGGAAACTCGATCCTTATTGATAGATTGGATTATGAGGGATTATGGTCAACTGCTTTTGATGATTCCAATACGTATAAGGCACCATTTTACAACGATTTGGGAGTACAAATCGGTACAGTTGACATGATGAAAGCGAAAAAATATGTTCGCGTAGCCCACGTTCCTTTCATGCATACTAAGGTCCTGGAATTGCCTGTTGGATTCAAGGGTCGGTACACGATGCTCATTGTTGTCGGAACTGGAAACAATATTTTAAAGAACGCATTTGAACTGTTCTTGGGATCAATATTCAAGGTGCTTAGTCTATTGCAAATGAGTTTAGTTCCGGTGGAGATCGAGGTACCGAAGTTTACGATGAGCTCGGAATTTGACGTTAGGATTGCGCTTGAGGAGATGGGAATCGATGGGTTCTGGAATGACCCTGCAGCAACTGGGTAAGCATATTTACTTACATTACACATTATATTATTTACAAGCGAAGTTGTACGTGTGGAGAGGGAGAGGGTTCGCACCCACAAATTTTTAACCGATAACACGACTATAAAGTTTGTACACTCTATTGAACTGAATTTATCAATTGTTCGGTCCGTTGTTCGTCTATAAATCAACAAACTGCGCAAAGTTGTGTCAGTCGGTATTAATATCAAATTTATATTCGTACTATGAAACCATTGCTGTTAATATATATTGACATATATAAGCGAGAAAACGTAAAATCAAAATTAGAAACGGATAGCTATTCTAATTGGATAGTTTAAACTATAGGTACAACTGTTGTACAAAATAATCTACCGACATTGTCCAGTATGACTTGCACTAAAACTCAAAAGAAATTACACAATTAATATGGTTCTCACAATTTGTAGGTATCAAAAACAATTAAGGTAAAGCTTCTAACTTAAATAATGTACCATTATACAAACCTTCAATTCCTCTCTTGCAATATTAAATTAGCTTTCCTTAGTGCACTTTCGTTACAAGTGAATTGGATTCTGACTAACTGCCTACTAACTCGATTTGAAGTCCCTTTTCTAATGATGTCGGCTATGTCTAGACTTAGGTACTGTTTCTTTATAAAAATATATTTAAGCTAAACATAAACGACAATTGACTGTATACTGATTTATTTTAGAATTAAAATGAGAAAATTAAAAAAAAAACATGTAACTGTAACTGCGCCGTCGCTATTTTTACCTATGGCAACCAGGCTTGGTTTATTATTTTATTGATTCAAAACTCACTTCGCTTGTACCCCACAATTTTAATTGTAACCCCTAATGTGTATTCCGTTGCACAATTCTCTATACACATACTAATACGTGTAACTCCTATCATTGCAGCTACGTCTCTAAACCAGCAGCGTTACCCGGGAACTTCATCCAACATACCTCCGTAAAGATCGACAGTGGTGGCGTGGATCCGGTTTCTCCTTCCAAGGGTGGGCTTTTGCCAGGACTGGTGGATCTGGCTGCGAATACTGCTTCTGACGTCGCATCTGCGGTTGGGCATAATTTCGTAGCAAATAGACCATTTATGTACGCCTTGTTAGAGACAAAAACACAGACGTGCATATTTGCGGGTGCTTTTGCAAGGCCTACGGTACGGTAACTTGTAAAAAATAAAGCAAGTTACAATTACATACTTAATACAGAAAAAATAATGTATTCCGATTTGTGTTTTTTTTTCACGTATCATCCGTAATATTATTTTTTAAAAGTAGATATTTACTCAGTATTGTTAAAATAAGTTATGTTATTCTATAAGATAGAAATTTAAAACAAAATTAAGTGTGTTTATCCGTGTTCCATCAGATAGATAGTAAATGTGTAGTAGAATATCTAATTCTTTATCACAATACAGAGTATCTAAATCATCGTAAATATGGTTATTAGAAACTTACAGACCATGAATGCAAAAAGGATTTATTTATTTATTTAATAGGAACGATTACCGAATACAAATACAATTCCATTGCATAATTTTAGATCTGAAGCAATCATAATATTTCTAAACATATAGTAGGTACAGGTATTGTAAATGAGTTGGCGATACCTGATGGGATACCCATGGAGGGGTGGACAGAAGTGTTTATTACACACCCCCATTTTTTAAACTTCATCTTTATCAGACTTCATGCTGTTTCAGGAGGGTTATGGTATTGAATCGATTTGTATATGTATTTATATTTCTTTGGTATGTTCTACGCCCTACACGAAGTGTCGTTAGATTCGTCTTAGTTGTGAGAGTTACACGGGGTATATGGAAATTATCAAAAAATTAAAATGGCGATAATACTGAACTCCTTCTAATTAAGTTACGTGATCCTTGAATATCAGTACTTTCAGCGTTCTGTTCTCGTTACAACATGTGCAGTTCATTAAAAACTTGCTAATGAATACGCAGACGGAAAAAAAACGAAGGTGCTCGATTAAAATATATACCCAATCATAAAGCGACAGCCAATCATAACAAGCAACGCGATTGGTTGTACAAATAGTGATGCTGTACGTTAATGTAGTACAATATACAACTTTGCGTTAATAGTCACATAAAGCATTATGTCCATACTGACTTGTCCGCAGTTTCACTTGCCTTACTGTACATTTTGTCCAGGAATTCGGCAGGTTTAGTACCAGTAAGACAAATTCTATCACCACTTGGTAACAGTACTTTTATTGTGGACTAGTTTTTGCCCGAGGCTCCGCTCGTGTATATGAATGTCGTTATAGCGGGAATTATAGCATCCTGGATAATATACCTACCTTACTAACAGCGAAAGAATTTTCAAAATTGGATCGGTACCAAACTCACTTTTTAATATTAGTATAGATGACAGTGTATTTAAATTCAATTTGAACAAACAAACACATTACAAACCCATATTTGTAATATACCTTAAGTTTATACTTATCTATTAATAAAGAGAATATACACAAAATAAAATAAAGGGCACATTTATATATAGAACAATATTGCGGGCCTTTGAGATAGGAGTTCGCTCTTGAAAGTTTGGAAGTCATATGGGACCGCCAATACCGCAGGCGTTAGGCACCTAATTTGTGAGACAAAAAGACAATTGTTTTCATTACATTGCATTATGTATTATTAAGAGTATGTTGGTTTTGAATACGTTGCCATCATGAGACTCGTGTAAGTCTCAGCGTCGACCAAAACAACCATAAAGGGTCTGTCTACTACAAACTCGCTCCAGTATCGTTCCTCAACGTTATAACGTTGAGGTGGTATATGTTCTAACTGTGGTTGTGGATGAACTCCTTCATTTGTGAGAGTCAAAGTGGTGCGTTGGATGTAAGTGGTTGGCAGAGCTGGTGGGTATGATATGAACCTGTTAGGAGAAGTCATTGTTTAATACGTTAAAAAGTTTTTATAACAAGTGAATGCGGTAAACAAACAGACAGTTGCATTACTGGCCTTTGAGTAAGAGGCAGAGAGGGGGGATTTTGCCTCCGCTCCGACAAAACGCCAGAAATTAGTAGTATTAGTTATTAGCTCTATCCAATTGGTTCATCCTTAGCCTATCAGCCTAGAAAGGAGGTTTTGACCTGCTATACCACGCTGGCCTGATTGGTTGTCACAGGGTTTGTGTCAAGTTTTCCTTCTCTTTGCAGTGCTGTACGACACCTAAAGGATGAATAGGGGTGGTGACACTCCGTATTCTTAATCCGTCACCACACGGAAAAATACAATTGGTTAATTGTTGTTAATAAGTAGGCAAAGTAAAGTTATGTGTAAATATAATAACATTGAAGATTTTTAACACTGTAAGAATATAAATACACGTAAATAACATCGTATTTATTGTTTCGTACGCCAAAGAAATGGTACCTTCTAATACTCACAAATGTAGCACAACTTACCCCAAAATCGAATAGAAAAAAGATGGAAACCATCAATTCAATTAATTCGTTAAAAAGAATAGTCACTTTCACTAAATTAAATAAATGTGAAATAAAGAATATTCTATTCTATTCTATTCTAATCGTATCAAATTATCGAAACTCACTCCTATTGGGTAATATTGCAACTGTAAAAGAAAAACCGTAGTAGAGCCATGCTTTGCCATAGTGCAATTTATTCGATGCCTATTTTTAGCAGATGTATCGTACTGGAGGCCAAAACCCCGATTTCCTGTCGAGAGAACTTGCGTCGTATGTGTCCTGCCCTTTGACTTGGATCGTAGGTGTCCTGGGCAGCGGTAGTCACCATCAGGTGAGCCGTCTGCCCCTTTCCCTCCCATATCATAAAAAACCGCTGGAACAAACCTAGAGATTAGTACAAGGCACCATACCTACCCAGTAGCTCTAGGATCTTGCCATAAGTTCACAATTCCCATACCCTCCAGAATCTGTTTCATATCAATCTCAGATTTCATCAGAAATCGAGGTATGGCCACATCAATGGGTATTTGACTGTCTTGCAAAGACGCCTTCGCTTCGAATATGGTGTAGTTATGAAAACTGGATACCATTGAGTCAATACTTGAATTGTTATCTACAACCAGAGCAAAGATCATTCGATATTCTCCGTTGATACCAATTGGAAGTTCCAGAACCTTGGCATTTATGCTTGCGACATATCCAACTGCAATTTGCCAACTCCAGCCTATATATCATAAAACCTACATATATATATTATTATTTTTGTTTTTAGTACATATTTATTATATACTTCATATAGTATTTTAGTAGGTATTTTTTTTCTTTTTTTATAGTATATTATACACTTATGATGATGACCGATGATGAAGCTGACATATATTTTTCTGCCGATGACTCTTCCGAAGATGCCAGTTATAGTTCCTTGACAGAGACTCTGGGCGACCAATTACGGCAAACATTTCCCGTTCAATCTTGTCCTTCTCTAAATGTTTGCCATATAAATGCGCAAAGTGTCCCAAGTCATTTTAGCGATTTAACCGAGACTTTCTCTGACAACAACGTTCATGCCGTCCTGATTTCGGAGACTTGGCTCAAGCCCCACCTACCCTCCACCTCATATCCTCTCTCTGGCTTTTTACTTATCCGCAATGACCGTTTAGATAAAAGAGGTGGGGGCGTCGCTATCTACCTTCGTAGTTACTTACCTTATAAAATCCTCGCCTCTTCCTCCTCCAACCTTTCCACCTACGCAGAATACCTATTCCTCGAAGTTTGTGTCAAGGGAGTCAACGTAATTCTAGGTGTAGTCTACTGCCCCCCAACCGTTAACTACTTCTCTAGTCTGGAAACAGTTCTGGAATCTTTAGGGTCGGAACACTCGCATCACATCATCATGGGCGATTTCAACACTGACCTCCTAGCCCCAAACACTCCTCGTACACGCAATCTCCTTCAGATCATCCAAGCAACCAGCCTTCATATCCTGCCCCTTCAAGCCACTCACCACAATTTAGACTACCAGGATACCTGGCTAGATCTAATGCTCACCTCTGCCCCACACCTTGTCTCTTCCCATGGACAACTCCTTGCCCCTGGTTTTTCCCATCATGACCTTATCTTCCTCTCCTATATCCTGAAACCTCCTAAACCACCTCCTAAACTTCTACAGATCCGCAGTTTCCGACGCATGGATGTTGACAAATTACACGCAGATGCTGCTAAGATCGATTGGGAGGATATGGCAGCTGCCACCGACGTGGACAACAAAATTCGTATTTTTAATGACACCATTTTGAAATTGTATGACGTCCACGCTCCTATCAGGAGAGTAAAACTAAAACGTGCCCCGGCGCCTTGGATGACGAATGAGGTTCGAACTGCTATGAGACGAAGGGACCAGTCCTTTCTTCGTTTCAAGAAAGATCGCTGCGAAGACAAATGGAACCTTTATAAGGCTGCAAGGAATCGGTGCAACCAGGTGATACGCAACGCTAAACGCCGACATATTCTTCAAAACATAGAGTCTTCTTCTTCATCCAGTATCTGGAAATTTCTTGGTACTCTAGGAATTGGTAAACAACAGCATCACGTGTTTAACAATAAAATTGGTTTGAATGATATCAACCGTCATTTCTCATTCACAGCTACGCTGGATCTTCAAACCAAATGTCAAACGCTACACTACATATCTGGTCTAACCAGTTCCACTTCTGACTCGTTTGTATTTTCTCCGGTGTCTCCCGAGGATATCAAGAAGATTGTTCTTTCTATCCGTTCTAATGCTGTGGGGTGTGATGGCATTAGCCGTCGCATGATTGTCACCATCCTAGACTGCATTCTCTTAGTAATTACTCATATAATAAACTTCTCTCTTGACTCCGGTACTTTCCCCTCCTTGTGGCGTAAGGCCTATATTATTCCTCTCCCAAAAAATAATAACCCTTTACTTCCTGAACATTTTCGGCCTATTTCTATTCTTCCATTTTTATCTAAAGTACTCGAGGCCTGTGTACATAAGCAACTCTCACAGTTTGTATACAGAAACCAACTTTTAAGCCCTCTACAATCGGGCTTCAGACCCGGCCACAGCACAGTTACCGCTCTCCTTAAAGTGACTGGCGATATTAGGAAGGGCATGGAAGATACCAAAGTCACAGTATTAGTCCTAGTTGACTTCTCTAATGCCTTTAATACCGTCAATCACGAAATCCTGTTATCTATCCTATCCCATCTTATGGTTCCTTCTGAGACACTGGAATGGTTCTCCACCTATCTTCAGGGGCGACAGCAATGTGTTCGTGTTGATGACTTATCATCAAGTTGGTGCGACCTCCACGCTGGCGTCCCACAAGGCGGAATTTTATCTCCTCTCTTATTCTCTATATTTATTAACCTCGTAACTCAACATCTTCAGTGTGCGTATCACCTGTATGCTGATGATCTGCAGCTGTACTCACAGGCAAGGGTAGAGGACGTAACGCGGGCTATTGACGAGGTCAATCGGGACCTGGAGGTCATAGAATCCTTTTCGATGAGATTTGGACTGTCAGTTAATCCGACCAAATGTCAGGCAATCATAACAGGCAGCAAACGGATTATGAGCAGATTGGATACTGCCTCTATCCCACCGGTCGTCTACAATGGTTTAATTATTCCATTCAGCCCGGTAGTCAAAGACCTGGGCTTACTTATCGATTCATCCCTCGATTGGCGAGCTCAAATTACTAGCGTGAGCCAGAAAGTAACTGGCAATTTGCGAACATTGTATCGTCTCAAGAATTTCCTACCGCCTAAAACCAAAGTTACGCTCATGCAGTCCTTAATAATGCCAATAATTGACTATGGTGATGTGTGTTATTTCGACCTGAATGCAGACCTTCTAAATAAGCTTGACCGTCTTCTCAATAACTGCATTCGATACATCTTCAATCTTCGGAAGTATGACCATGTGTCTGCTTTGCGTTCCCAATTAAACTGGTTACCTATTCGCCTCCGCCGCAAACAGCGTGCACTTACCTCTCTATTTGCATTTCTCAATTCACCGTCCTCACCTACTTACCTTGCTCCCTACTTATGTTACCTGTCTAGCAATCATGACAGAAATCTTCGCTCAGATAACAATCTGCTTCTCTTATGTCCCTCTCACAACTCCGACTTCGTGAACTCTTCGTTCTTTGTTCAAGCAGTACTACTCTGGAATGCGCTCCCGCTCGAAATCAGGATGTCCACAAACCGCTTTATATTCAAAAAGAAGGTACATGCTCTCCTTCTTAAAGAAATGGCAGAACGGTCTAATCCATAGTTAAGTATACCTCAAATTCAGGTTTTCATAGTGTACGAATAGTGTACGAATACTATGTATCTATATAAATATACTTGTATATATATGTATGTGTATCTTTGCGTATTTATGATGTGTAAGTGTAGTATGTGTGTATATGTTTATATATGTAGTGAACCGTATATATTTTCATTGTACATTTGATATTATGATGTAACCTCTGTGCACCTACCTGACAAGATTTCTACATCACCCAAAGGTTGACTGGAAGAGAATGCCCTGGGCATTAAGTCCGCCGATGTACAAAAGTGCATAAAGATGAATAAATAAATCAATAAATATCCAATCCGAACTATTGTCTTCATTTTCATAAGGTCTACTGAACCAATGCGTTTGCCAGCTTGATTGTAAAATGGTGAATGTTTGGCCACGTTCTCATTAAAAGCTGTTGTCCAAAGCCCATCGTAATCCATAGAATTTAATATAATTGAGTTACCATTAAAATTCAGCTGATGATTGGTCAATATGAAAAATTTTGTAATTTCTATCGTTGCAACTGGATTGCGTTCGATTGGTGCTGGAAACATTTGCAGAAGAGAATATTGTCTCACCAATTTATACCAATGTCCATTAATATGAGCACCTTTATCAATAAGTAAAATTCGTTTGTTTAAAACACTGACGTATTTGGAGGAAAAACTACGTGTTACTGCAATCTGATAGAGCTTAAAACGTGAACATGCGTTTTCAGGGAGATTCAGGAGTGTAAAGAGTTCCTTCTGGGTATTTTCATCAGCTCCTTCTGCAATAGCAGCGAGCGTGATCCACACAGAGAGTGGGGCTAGCGCCATGTAATGGTTTCCTTGAAGAGAGACCTTCTTCAATAAGTTTGCTGTAAAAGTGGCAAATGCAATACGGAAGACGCCGGTTGCTTGTTGGTCGTCAATACATAGGTTTTTATTACCATTTCTCTTATATCTTTGAGCAAATTTTGTTTGCCGTTCCTTGGATGCGCATATCGTAATTGATATTATCAGTATAGCTATCTTCATTTTTTAAATTTTAAAATGGGATTATCCAATACTACGTACAACGGAAAGACTAGCTATCATTTGTGCATTTTATAATTACTCAGTATTTTCTATAATAAGTATCTTTACATTTATCTACAATTATTAATAAGATATAGCTTTTGAATATGATGAATAGTCTTCGAATTGTTTTATCTACTCCTTTCTGAAAGGAAAATAAAATATGTGTCGGTACTTACAATCATTTAAGTACGTAGACAGAACACTATTTCAATATATTTGTTACGCATCATTCGATTCATATGATCTCATACAATTTTTCGTACTCGCTTACTGTAAGTATGTCGTTTCACCACGTACCTACTTTCATGCCTCCATCAAAAAGTTAACATCTTTATAAAATAAATATGAACCTCAGAAACTAAACTCTTGTAGTTTGTATCCCGTTAAGTTAAGCCTTCTTATACATGTTCTCGGAATTAATTGAAGTAAAGTTACTTCAATTACCATCAACTCATTTTAAGTCTTACTACTTGTTCTCGAGTACAGGTCGCATCAAAACTCGTCTAGGGAGGAGAGAAACTTAAATTCTAGTTGTTATAGTAAGGGTGATCATATCTAGTCCTTTTTTTTATTTATTTTTTCTGTGCGAAAATCCCCTCAGATATCACCCACTGGCACCGGCACGACGCCGTCTCGGGTACCAGCTGCTTGGGAACCTGGTGTACCCTAGGAAGGAAATCGCTGATACCCCGACGTACCTCGGGCCATCTACGCCGTGTAAATGACCTCCTGTTTGGAAACCTCCATGTCCCCTTTGTGCTCCCGAAAGGGCGGGCACGTTCCGAAGCGTCGTCACCACCCCGGCTTGCTTCTGCTAGGGTTACAGATGGCCTCACCTACCACCCCCAGGCCTGCGGTTATGGAGGACGGAGGTCATTCTTCCTCCGGCGCCTGAGTCGTCTGCGGTACCTGGCCCGTTGCCGGGCCTGGCGCACCGGGAGAGTTCTAAACCTCTCCCGGTTCCGCTCCGCCATCTTCTTTGCAAGCATAACTTCCTCGCAGAAGGAGACGGCGGAGATCCACGAACTCTCGCTTCGTCCATGGCGGCAATCATGTTACCGAGCGAGAGGATTCCCACTCCGATGGCCGCCAAGAGGCAACGCCTTTGCTCCACCCACGCCGGGCATTCTGCCAGACGTGTGGAGCGTCGTGTCCGCGATCCGGCCATCGTAGTAGTGACACTCAGGCGTTGGCTCCTTGCGGATCAGATACAGGTGTTCTCCGTAGTATCCTATCCAGGTTCCGTGATGCGTCTCGAGCCAATCCTCCATAACGGGTCATATCTAGTCCTAAGTATGTTTTTTTTTTGGTTGAAATTAAGGAATGTGATGGACCCAGTAAATGTTTGAAAGCATAGAGAACAGTAGGAAAGTTGTAATATAGAGTTTTTCAAGGTAAAGTAAGTAAACCAACAGAAGGCTTAATTATTGGTATGTAATTACCGCTGCTCGTGGATATCTCAACCCAGTTGTGTTGAACTATTTTATATTTTCGTCCTCAACTACAATTATATTAGTTTTCTGTGTAAAAACTTTAATTACCTCTATATATTTGATCCAACCAGTCGTCACCTGTTAATAATAAAACGTATATCAAACACTAGCTATCATTTCGAGGAGAATAAAAATAGCATATGGATATACAATAAAAGCGGCGATAAACGAATGCGTGAAACGAAACGTTAGCGTCACGTGGCGTCAATTATGCAACTGTGAGAACGGATATCAAATATTTCATTATGTTTTATTACTTGGAACTATAACTAACTGAAGAGTAATATAACAGCTATTTGGCAATTTGTTTTTTTTTATTCAGAACAGTTGGTTTTTTAAAACCTTTAGGTGATTTGTTTTTGTAGGACGATGTGTCTTCAACTACAACTGTTGTATCAGAGCAGTGTTGCAAGGTATAATATACGAAATGAGAGAGACCTTCCATCGTGTGATTAAAATTTAAGATCCTTTTAGACTGACTTTAAAAGCTGCCACAGTACGTAAATTTAAAGAGATCATGACTAGGAACTTATGTAAATGTAATTTATTCATTCCGTTTTACGTTGTGTTGGGTGATTTTATACCATGCTTATTTTTTCCAGATTCCTTAAAATAATTATCATCATTACACTTGGGTATCATAGTGTATCGTACCCTTAGCAGTTCCAGTCTTAAGGGTCTCAAAAGACAAAAAGCAAAACTTAGTATTTCCGCTTTAATGTAACTTGTGGAAGAGTAACAGGCATCAGGACATTACAAAGATATCGTAATTACACAACTAACTTATTGAACTCATGATGAAAAGTGTGGCGCAATATTCTACTTACCTAGTAACTTGGCAATTACGTAGTGTTGAGACTTGTGTTGGTATGTAGAACAGACGAGTAACTTTTAAGTGTATCTTAAGTAATGCTTAGAAGAATTTGTAAGTACTGAAATTTAAGTAAGACAAAATATCACGCCTTAATGCATCAGATCAAATGTTGATGTCGACATCACGAGGTTTAGTTGGATTACCTAAGTTATATTTCTAACTCATGAAAGGAATAAACACTTTTTGTACCCATCCTAGGTAGAATAGAGGACTTGAATACAGATCTTTTCTCAAAATCAGCCAGACCAAATCAGAAAGCAGCCTTGAAGCGACAGTAATTCACCAAAAATGTCACAAACAGCCCTTGCAGAAGATGTACCAAGGCAGAAGAAACGCCCCCTCCCCTACGTAATCTTGGAATGCTATGGAGTGGTCACCAAACGGGCTAGTATCAACATACCTTTTTTTTTATGGAAGAGGGGGCAAACGAGCAAACGGGTTACCTCATGAAAAGCGACTACCGCTGCCCATGAACGCCTGTAGCTCAGTAGTCACAAGAGCGTCGCCGGCCTTTGGGAAAGGAGTTCGCTCTTTTCTTGAAGGTTTGGAGGTCGTATAACTTGTTCCACAGATTGGTTGTGCGAGGCCAAAAGTGTCTAAAAAAGCGCACTGTAGAGGAGCACCAGTTATCCAAGTGGTGTTGATTAAAGCCTTGCCGTGTGTGCCGGAGCGATGGCGGAAAATTGCAGACGGTATTAGTCCGAACAATTCCTCGGAGCACTCTCCATGATATATATGATAGAGAATGCAGAGTCAAGCAACATCTGAACGTAACGCCAAGGGGTCGAGCCGGTCGGAGATCTTTTGGCTATCGACAATTCGGGTCGCTCTTCGTTGGATGGGGCGGGACGGGATGGGCCAGAGGGACAAACTGGTACTGGGGTGCCCCTGCATAGAGATGAGAACAGTATTCCATATTGAGGCCCACCTTATAGAGTTGCAGGTGGTGGGCCGGAGTGAAATACTGCCTAGATCTGTTCAGCACACTGAGTTTCTTCGAGACCAATTTGACCTTACCAAGTGACCCCGAAACGGGACTTCGCTCGATATATCGATGCCTAGAATTCCGATACTGGCTGTAGCAGTTAGGGAGGTGCTCTCAAACCGATGCGATACGAAAAACGGTATCTTCTTTTTGCGGCGAATGCGCAAACCTGTGTATTTTTGGGGTTTAAACTGTCTAGATACAGTCGACCCAATTCTGAAACCTCCGCTAAGGAACTTTCAACTTTAGACACGAGTTTGTTTCGATTCTCGAAGACGTTTTCCAGTGAAATATTGGGGCGGTGTTTATCACACAATATTTGTCCTGGGTAGGAATCGAACTAACGATCTCTAGCTTAGCAGGCAGGGTTATTAACCAGTAGACCAAGTGTGTACTCGTGTCCCAAAAATAATGCATATTTTACTATCTCTAAAAGGATATTCTACTATAATTATTCGACCCTAGTGCAAAAATACAAGAAAAGAAAACCGTTTACTCAATAAATGATAACAAAGGTAACAGATATACATCAACGAAAACGTAATATACACGGAAAAATTCTATCATATCTGTAATACAGGAGCCCTCTGTGACATCCTACAATGATATTTGGCGAAGTAATTAATTCTTCACTACGTAAGCCACGTCAAAGCTGGGGCGAGTAATTAGACGCCGTACCATAGCACCCGCCCCGTCTAAGAGCCGATGATAAAGCAACTGTCTAACTGCTAGCGATTTAATAGCATGATTTAGCGATGAAGCATTATTTTTCCGGATAATTGTAAAACTCAGGATTGGTTTATGTTGAAGGTATTAAGAGCAATGTGGCTGATGCATTTATAATCATCATTATTTTTCTGTTCTTTTTCCAATTTTATTTGGGGTCGGCGCAATTTGTAACATTGCAAAGGGTTTTCGCTAGTTTCTTTTATGATGGATGGCTGCCTAACGCCATACCTTCTTGGGAATATAAGGTAGATAGAACAAGGAAGCTGGAGCAAGGGATACCAAAAATCTAATATATGTGCAAATTACTAACATTGCTATAGCTCAAAAATTTTATAAAAAACTAGCTGACCCGGCAAACGTTGTTTTGTCATATACATTATTTCTAGGAAATATGCAAAAAAAAAATTAGGGGTGGGGTCACCCTTGTCTTTTAGGGGTATGAAAAATAGATGTTGGCCGATTCTCAGACCTACCCGATGTACACACAAAATTTCATAAAAATCGGTCCAGCCGTTTCGGAGGAGTATGGTAACTAACATTGTGACACGAGAATTTTATATATAAGATAACACATACTAACAAATGAAAAACAGAAAAAGCCTGCCAAGAGCTAAAACATTCAGCGCTAATTAAAACTTATTTGTTATATCACTTATAATAAAATAATTACTGACGCCGTTCCTGTAACATATTTTAATTATTTGTTCATCTTGCGTCTTTGTTTGTTTATCGCATCAGCTAGTTGTCTAATTTAAACATTATATATATTCGGAAGTACAAGTGCAGTGTTACACCAACATATAAAAAACGATATGTGTTAATATACTCCTTGACGAGTCTATTTTAGTTTTCTAGTTAGCGATACTGACAGAATAGT